TTATGAGCCGGGTCCACAAGGTCTCCATGAAGTCTCGGAAGGGTGTGGGGGAAATTCTCCGCGCCCCGTACCTCCCTCACACTGTCCGCTATCAACCTAGCAGTAGTGGCAATACCCTACCAAGTAGTCCGGCCGTCCCGCACCATATAGGGCGAGTGGTACGTAAGGCTTCCCGGTGAATCTGAGTACTAGTAAGTCCTTAGGGATGACCAAGCCAGAATGTCTTCATCAGGGTTTCCATTTACCGTGCCACCATAGCACCTCCACCATGGGCTCCTCCCATCACAGGTTCACACCCAGGGCCACCTCATATACCATTTACCCACCACAGGTATCCATTCCAGGATTGCCCAGGTAGCACCCCATGGCAAGACTTGCCCTAGGCTCATCGTATACTCCAACTTGGTCAACACAACCCTCACCCTCCATGCACCCAAGTCACACACACATCACTCTCCCCATGGTCCAGATAACACCAGTTTCCACCACGCATCAATGTAGTGCAAGCGTAGTAGAAGTAATAAGCAAGGAAATATAATAGCAAGCGTGTGACTAGCCTAACAGCAGGGTGAGCAGGGGTAAGGTTGCATCAAGGTAAAGGCCATCAAGAAAGCATACTACCATGCAAGTCCTACCATAGTGTGATCATGACAATAAAGTAAGCACTAGCATTTCTATTTTAGCCATGCATAATAGGTGCTACGAGATTGGGTGGGATGTGATACCTTTAGTGTAGTTGTCTCCGTACTCCTCACGGTACTCACGATCCTCGTCCATCCGGTTCTCCTCCGAGTCTACAAACGATCGCATTATAGTCGCGTTAGCGACGTCTATAGAATAGCACAAAGAAGCCATGAAAATTCAAAAGAGTCAAATGCACTCAAACATGGGTTCATTGCGTAGAGCTTGATTTTAGATGAATTTTGGTCCTGGTTTCGTATTTTTCTGAGGTCATATGAATTAGTTATGAATTTCTGAAGTTTAAATCATTTCTGAAAATAGAAAAAGGCTGAATTAATCCTGGGCTGACACGTGTCACGTTGTGACTGGTCCACGTGGCATGCTGACGTCATCTCGGTTCCGAGCTGACAGGTGGGGTCCAGCTGACGTCAGCAACGTCATCAATTCCGACAGGTGGGTCCAGGGACTCTCGGGTCACTGACATGTGGGTCCGGTCAAAGTCAACGGCGAGTCAACGGTCAACGGGTCAGGGTCACTGACGTGTGGGGCTAGGGCAGCTGACGTCAGCAGCTGATGTCATTGTGACGTCAGCATGACGTCACCTCAGCCGTGTCGGCTTCTGACGTGTGGGCCCCATGTGATGTCAGCATGATGTCACCATCTGACATGTGGGTCCAGCGTCTCTGTGTCGCTGACATGTGGGGCCAGGTCAACGGTCAACATTGACCAGTCAACGGTCAATACAGGCCGGGTTCAAACTGGGCCTAGACAGGGCTGGATTTGGGCCGGGCCGGCCCAGACACGTGGCGTGCTGTGGCGCTGCCACGTCACAGCCATGGGCCTTTACTGGGCTGTGGCCTACGGCTCGCGGTTCACGGTGGACTTAGGAGTGCTGGTCCATGGACCACAGACTGGTCTACGGTGGACCGAGTCCACCCTTCTTCCCTTAGGCGTGGTCCATGTGCACCGGGTGCAGGTGCGTGCGGCCGGCGAGGAAGAAATCCTCTGATTCCTCCCCGGCGTGCTCTTGCCAGCGGCGAGCTTGCTGGTGAGCCTCCGCAGCGGCGCTAGCGTCCGGTTAGGGCAGGTAAAGGCTTCCCCACGTCTTGGCGATTGCGATGGTGGGGTTGGGGCGACGGCTAGGACTTCCTAGGACCCTGGCCACGGTGGTTGGTGGCTCGGCGGTGCTCGCCGATGGTGAAGTCACGCGTGCAGGCTTCCTGGTGGCTCGGCTGGGCGGGTAAAGGCTTCTACGGATCCGTGGGGGCACGGCGAGGGCGTCCAGGGCTCAAGGCAGGGCTTCGGGTGCCCATGTGGCCGGTAGGGGCTCCACGGCGGCCACATCGGCATGGTGGCGACGGCAAGGCACGCAGGAGCACTTTGGGGCACCAGCGGCCGGTCTTGGCGTGGTCGTGGGTGTGCGTGTGAGTGCGTGTGTACCCAGAGGTCGGAGATGGCCTTGGCCTACGCGCTCACGGTGTGGAGCGCCATGGGCGGAGTAGCAAGGTCCGGCGGCGAGCAGGGGAAGAACCGGGGGCTCACCGTTGGTGTTGGAGTCGAATGGATAGCGGTGCAGTGGCGGGTTGTGGCCATGTAGCTCCGGATGCAGTGCCATGCAGCGTTGCCCGCTCTGGCTCCGGCTCCGGCGAGCTTTCCCCCCTCCCCGCAGCGGCTTCGGCGCTTTCCCCCCTTCTTCCTCTTCTCCCTCTTCTCTCTGGCTCGGGTGTGCAGTGGATGGCCATCAAGTGGCGGCAAGGCGATAGGAACGTGCTAGGGCTCCCGGGGCCGGGGCTTTTATAGCCGAAGCTCCAAGCTCCAATGGCGGACGGGGCGGACGACTGGTGATGCGCTGTTGGCATCGAGCGGCATCGCGGGGTGTGGGCGCGGCGCCAAGGGAACAGGGCCATGCCCCGGGCGTGACCCCCCCTGGCCCGCTCCTGCCAGGGCTATCGGGGCTTGGTCGGAGGCGTGAGCGGCGTGGGGGAGGAAGACGACACTATGGATGGGGGTGGCTGACGTGCGGGGCCCATGTGGCAGCGGCTGCAGGCGAGGTGAGAGCGGCGTGCGGGCGTGAGCGGCATGCGGGCTGGCTGCGTGGGTTGCGAGCGCTAGCAGGCCAGCGAGGCCGTGAGGGCGAGCTGGGCCAGCCGCTGGGTGCACGCGGGGTCTGAGGGCGAGCTGGGCCAATTTGGTTGCCTAGGCTGACTGGGCCGCGAAGCCGAGCAGGCCTGGCTGCTGTGAGGCTTCTTCTTCTTTTCTTTTTCCTTTTTCTGTTTTCTTTTTCTTCTTCCTTGATTTGAATTCAAATTTGGTTTGAAATTTGGATTCCAAATTGGTGTACCTTTTAGATATGATGCCCATATCATTTTTATATATATTAGGAATTTATTTAGCTATTTTGTATAACAAAAATAGGTGTAGTTTTGTTATACACAAATGGAAATAGTTTTCTTTTTAAACATTTATCCTTTGGTTTGAATCATAATTACTTCATGGTGTGTTTCTTTAAAGGAGTTTTCAGGCATTACATAAAGCAACTGAAGATCCAAATCACCATGTGAGTTAACAAGATATGCTATATTTCATTTGTTAGTATTTAAATAAACATGGTTAACTATGGCATGCCATGCTTGTGTGTTGACTTAGGTTGGGGTTAGATCTAATGCATCTCTTAGGTTGGGTTTCTATACATGACACTCATCATCACATGGGAGTTTTGAGAAAAATTTTGTAGTTGGTATTTTTGGTGTATGGATTTTTGGGTTGTTACACAATGTATGTAATTCTTCCTCCGGCATGCATTGGCTCTATTGTGGAAAAATTTGGTGTTAGCATCTCCACACCGGATGTATGTGAGCCTCGATCTGTGTCTGATTCTTGATTTTTCAATGGCTGCGAGCCTAGTGCTACGGGCTTTGAGGCGCCGACATAGGTGAAGCTCCAAGCCAGTGAGCAACCTATGCTCTTGGGCTGCTTCTAACTGTAACAATACTTCTTTCACTATGGCGAGCTACAGCCTCATATCCCCTTTCTTGTCTTTTTTCCAACGCTTGATTCCTTTTGCCACACGCGCCATTTTGATATGCAAGCGTTTCATAGGAAGAGCAGAGGCGACCGACCTATTCCAAATGTTTTGGACAAGATCTTGAAAGCCTTCCATCTTAGTCCAGTAATTTTCGAAGCGAAAGGACGTGCTCTGATGGTGGTCAAGCTCTCCTTGCAGTAGCAGCGTGGTATGGTCCGACATGAGCGATGGAAGGGAATGTAAGAAGCACGCGGGGAAGAACAGTTCCCACTCGGGGGTACATAGTAGTCTATCAATTCTAGTGAGCGTTGGGTTCTCCTGTTGATTGCTCCAAGTGAAGCGGCGTCCATTTAGCTTGATTTCTTTGAGCCTCAAATGATCGATCGTTGCTCTAAATGCCCCCATAAGGTGCTGGTTTAGATTGGAGTTGTTCTTGTCTTTTGCCTGGTAGATGAGATTGAAATCACCCAGGATGAGCCATCTATTGTGTTCCGGCGGCGGAATGTTCTTCAATCTTGGAGGAATTGAAGTTTGGCTGCCTCTCCTTGCGGGCCGTATACCACTGTAATTTGCCACTTTATTCCATCTGCCCTCATGTTGATTTGCGCAGTTATAGCATTCGAGGTAAGTACAATGTCGGAGAGGTCGAAGAAGTCTTCATTGACAGCAAGGAAAACACCTCCTCGAGTCTGTTCTGCCGGGAGCACAATATAGGAGTTTACAAATTTTGCTCCTACTGTGCGGCGCACCACATTATGATCCATAACTTGCATCTTCATTTCTTGTAGACATACAATGGTGGCACCAGTGGTTCTCACTAACTCGCTCACCGAGTCTTGGCGGGCGCCATCATTCAAGCCCCTGACGTTCTAGTTAAGTATTTGACAATTCAGCTGTGCCATAAAGAAACCAATGGACCCCTATTTAAGATTAATCTGTGGAGGGAGGCAAGCAGGAAGCCATGTGGGGCTGTGGTACTGGCAATAAGAACAAAGATAATCACACGGAGACACATGGTCATGAAAGCAGCAAATTGGAGTCATCGATACATCTGAATGCCAGTGGCTGTTGGCGCAGTGATACAATGCAAGAGTTTCTTGCACACAGAGCTGATGCTACAACGAACTACTAGATGGAGGGTCCTTCCAGTGTGGTGGGGAGGTGACTGTAGGCCTCTGGCTATCGCCCCACCCAAGCACCATGACTGGACGCGCACAAAAGATGTGAAACTCCTGGAGTGGTGGTTTGTTACTAACATTAGTACATTGATCTACCCATCGGCGTCAGCAGCTATCTAAGCGTGCGGAGTGGGAAGCGCTGCCGCAACGTCGAGGCCACACAATGCCGTCAGAGCCTTCACGGCAGCGTCGATGAGTGGTCCCTTGAATAGGCTGAAGTAGCACAGCAACACATCGTCGTGGCTGAGTCCTTCCACGTCGAGGATGCCAAGCCTTTTCATGAGCACCTGCCTGGCCTTTGCCTGAGTATCACCTCTAGGCCAGTTCATGGCTGCAATGCGCACGCTCCTGCGTGCTGGGACCATAGGCCTCTTGCGTTGCTGTGGCGGGCTAGCTTGGTGCAATGGAACCTACAAGATGGGTTGAGGCATAGGTTGTGAGATCCCCTCTAGAAATTCTAACACCACTGCTGGCCTGCTCCGGCTGTTGCCGCTGGAGGCCATTCGCCATGCGTTGACGGCGTGAGCAGATGTTGGCCAGTCCATGGGCGCAGCGTCTGGAGTAGACGAGCCCAGGGCGGAACCGCACCACCTAGGCGCTTCCTGCTGGTTGTGCCTGTTTTCGGTGTGGGGGAGGAACACTTGGCCGCCTGGAGTAGACACGTCCCGTGCGGAAGCGGCGTTCTGCAGTGAGGTGTGAGCGCTGTTGTGTCATGATGTCGGGGTCGCTGACGGGGGGAACCTGCAATTCAGTCAGGCATGAGAGAGGTATAGTGGCCGTCAGCGGCTTCGAAGAAGAAATGTTCAGTGCTGCGGCATCAGGTTGGGCGTCCGGCTTCTAGGTTGGAGAAGCTGAGGGCGATGGAATCATTGCCTGATCATTGAATTGACTTTGGTTAGCACCCACCCTGGGAGGACTTGGTGATGGGTGATGGTTGTCACCATTGCCAGCACTGAAGTCAGGCGACTTGCAGCGCTGGCGTGGTGACGGGGACTTTGAGCGCGCCGTTGTGGTCCTCGGCTCCGAATGCACGTGCCTGTGCGGCCTGCGGTTCAGCGTCCGTTCCTTGCTCCGACCCCGGGTTCGGCGATGGACATCCACCGGGAGGCCAAGGTCAGCGGGCTTGGCGAGCTGCTGTCGAGTCCTCGCGTTGTCACCTATAGCGTTGCTTGGGGCAGATAGGTGGGTGCCATGGCCAGCAGCGACGTTGTCCAGTGGGCATTGACGGCCTCCGTGCTCGGGGCTCCGGTGTCGACGGCCACCGTGCCTCGACTCTGAGCGCTCCCGCTTCTGGTCCTTGGGCACACGCTGTGGTAGAACCGCCCGAGATAGCACACTTATGGAGGCGCTTGTCTTCCACCAGACACTAAGCACCCTGAAAGCAAGCTACAGCGGCCGGTATCCATCGGGCACACCCCGAGGGAGAACCCGAAAGATCCACATTTTTCCCAAGGATCCAATAATGAGAACGAGTTACAATACCAGTTCATTTCATACATTAGAGTTTCTTAAAAAATACATTATTACAATACCAAATACCAGAGTACGGAATAATAAACAGCGGAATTTAAAAATAACAACTAGTGATAAGGGCGAGGATCCGTCTGTGCCCACCAGAAGAATCCTCCACACAAAGGGTACTCCTCAAGCATCACATGCAATAGGGGTAAATAAACCCTGAGTACACAATGTACTCGCAAGACTTATCTGACTAGTGGGAATAATTTCCTGACTTCAAGGATTATGATAAGCTTTATGGTTTACTGGTTTTCTTTAGCAAAAACAGCTCTAATAGTGAGTCCTTATTTATGTCTTATTATTAGCCGTATTAAGTTATCATCTAGCCAATCTATATAAGCACATGTTCTACTTTCAAGCAAGAGTTGAGCAATCAGTTCCATTTCTTCTCCTTTCAACTTTCAGTTCTTACTACGGTGCTAAACCGCAGACAAGCCGTACCGGAACGCCAGCGATTTGCGAATCAATGTCCCCAGCTGGGTGCCCCGAAAACACACGCCCCGCTTGTACCCTAGGCACAAGCAGGACTAACCCATCACTCTCCTGTCCCGGGTGTCTAGGTCCCCGTCCAAACTTGTACTCCAAGCCCCCACTTCTAAGTCCCGGACTCAGTGTGGTGCAAGGACCACCACCTCCTCTTCCCATCAGTCGGTCCAGAAAAGAGCCGGATCCGCGACAAGAGAGCAACAAGTCTTCCCTGCGCCCATACCCAAGTATGTTCTCAGGACAATAGATCTGTGACTTGCCTAGAGCCATATGCAACGACCGGTCCTTAATCGACACAAACAGGGAAAATTGTAACCGAGCTATGCCCTGTTGGCCGTAGGACACAACCCCTTACACCCATCAGTACCCGAACCATATCCCTGCCTAGAGCCAATGGCTTGGCAGGGTGCGGTCGGCGTTCCGGACGCAGCGCGTCAGGCATGGCGAGGTGACCCGTGCGCTAGCGAGTGGTAGCAGGCAGCCAAGGCAGCAGCGCCAGGCCCCTACGCGCGGTGCGCAATCACAGCAGCAATGCGGCCTGCGCCTCAACGCACTAGGCGAGCCAGCAGCGGTGGCAGACAGCCAAGGTAGTAGCGCCAGGCCGTGCGCGTGCACAGGCGCGGCAGTGGGACGCAGCTGGTGCGGCAGCGCGCTGGCAAGCCAGAAGCGTGCCAGGCCAAGCGGTGATCGCAGCCAGAGCTAACCCATGTGCCATGCACGCTTTTTAAAGCAGCTTGAAAACTTGTACCTGATGCTCCAAACGTCAAACCAGTTGTTCGATGCGCACGAGGGTGCTTAGAGCTATCAACCAGAGTCATGACATCACGCCACTTCCTAAGCCGATCGCTCTACAAAACTTGTCAAAAGTGGCTTCGTCGACCCATTTCTAAACTTATGCGAAATGACTTACTTCGAACGGTTTCGCGTCGAATTCCAATTTTGACCTACTGGATGTACTAGCTAGCTATCCTCGTCCTCGACCGCACATGTTTTATCGCCGTTCGCAAAACATTCTCTAGCATTTTTGCTCGATGAAAATTTGATTAGAATACTAACAATGTTATGCGACATGAAACGTAACACTTGTTTCTTGTTTCATATAAATATTTCTAGTGCCGAACATTGATCTATAATTCATGTCATACACATTTGCACATAAGTAAGATGCTCATGCAGTGTTTTAGCAAGAATAGTACAATGTAACACCGAGGGTGTTACACACGCGAAAGGCTGTGGGTGAGACGCGAGTACCAGTTGTCACCCTGGCATTCACAACGTCCATGACGGCCGTCGTCGTTGTCGCGATGGCTACCGTGGATGTCAGCAGGCGGGGGGTCATGGCGGTCGCGCGGCGTCCTCTCTCCGTTAATGACACCGTAGTCCCACGTGTATACACGGGGAGCAGCAGCATGTCCATCTCTGCCCGGTGGGTCCTCCACCAGGTCAAGGTGCACCAGCACCCTGAAGGTGAGTCCTCGGCGGCCATGAGCAGGTTGTGAACTGTGAAACTCTACTTTCCTGCACGACAAGGTTAGCCAGGTTACCTTTGGAATGTCGGATGGGTTGTGCGTCCAAGCCCAGACACAGAGTGCCCTGGTGTCGGCATGGTCCAATGAAGACTTCTCGACGTAGTCAAGGTCACAAGCTCTGGCGACTACCCTCTTGGCGATGCTCTCGTTCCAGGCGTGAAGGGGGATGCCCTCCAGGCATAGGTGAACGCGGTACTTGAGGTTGCAAATGTCGCCGTGCGTGACCAGCTGCCATGACCTTGTGTGGATGTCGAGGTTGCGATAGGGGAAGCTCCCCTATGCCACAGCCTCATCGTGGTGGTGTCGGTGCTTGAAGTCGATGAAGAAGTCTTTGGGGGCGTGCTTGACGATGGTGACATCCTCTGAGCGAACCGAAAAATGGTGGCAGATGGCCCTCTTCATGACCTCTGGCTCCACCACCGACCGGTTCCCCCCTAGCCAGGCCACCATGCCATGCATGGAGAGGCGGTCGAGCTCTTGGTCCATGTTGTCGATGGAGAAGGCCATGGCACAGGTGTCCAGAGGACGGATAGAGGGGTCCCTGGGCCTAGCCATCGCGCCCATTCCTAGAGGTGGTATGTTGCTGTCATCGAATGGTGGAGGAGCAGTCTTGGGCAGGGGAGCTTGCTGCCGACAGGATGAAGGTCTTCCTTTGCACACACTGCTTTTATGCCCCCAACGGCCACAAGAGAAGCACCGCACCGGGTCCCTACAGTCCGCCGCAGCGTGGCCAGGGGAGAGACATCTGAAACATTTACCTCGCATGCACCGTTGCAGTTCATCGCTGTGGTGGTAGTGCGCCGATTTGACCTGGGTGGTTGAGGGAGTTGAATGCATCGTGCCTTTGAACTCAGGGAGACGCCACCAGCACCTCGGGCACACCATTGACCATCCGCCTTCATCTTCTGACGCGAGGTGTGCGCGTGAATGCGCCCCATCGGCCTGCTGCCTCGCCTTGGTGACAGCCCTGAGCCACCCCCCTTGGGAAGGGAAATCCCCATCAAAGTAGGGCATTGCAGCCTGGAGGGGGGGAGTTGAATGCTTGGCGGATTGAGCGCCAGTGGCATGCTTCACTACAGCGGATCTGAGGCAAGATTTCGTTGGCGTAGCGCCGTTGGAGTAGTAACATCTCATAGGGTGGTTGCAGAGGGGGGAGGCGAACTTGATGCGCTTGCCCGACGTGCTTCTTGTCTTGTCCGATGCGCCGGCAGCAACAACGGGTGTAGCAGCGCTTGCGCCGAGGCGGAGCTCCGGCCCCACGGCGACTGAGTTGGGGACTGGGGATGCGCCGTAAGCAGTAGCGGGCGCGTCGAGCCGGATTTGACGCACGGGGCGTCAGGTGGTGGGAGATGGGCTCGATCTGTGGTTGTGGGCCACTGCAAGCTATGCGAGTGGGATAAGGAGGACGGCCGCGGGGTGGGGAGCGCGCTGTAGTGCGCGACGACAGGGGGTCGAGGCCGGCAGCGATGGATCTGGGCTGGGGGGCGACGCGCGGGGGTGGGGGCGGAGCAGGAGCGGGGGAGCCTAACGGTTCCATAGTATAGACCTATCTGTCTGTTAAATGTTGACTACAAATGCTTCACCAAGGTTTTGACTAACAGACTAGTTCCTGTTGCCAGGAAAATCATTAGCAAAAACCAAACTGGCTTTATCAAGGGTAGGAACATTTTGGAAGGGGTAGTTGTTCTTCATGAGGTTCTGCATGAGCTGCATAGGTCAAAGGCAAGGGGCCTCATTCTTAAGATCGATTTTGAGAAAGCCTATGACAGAGTTCGATGGGAGTTTTTAGAAGAGACCATGAGAGATAAAGGGTTTCCTCAAAAATGGATCTCTTGGGTGATGAAAACAGTTAAGGAAGGGCAAGTATGTATTAATGTGAATGGTGAGAGGAGTGCCTATTTTAGAACCTTTAGAGGGTTAAGGCAAGGTGACCCCTTATCACCCTTGCTTTTCAATCTGGTGGTTGATGCCCTTGGAGTCATGTTCGACTCTGCTATTAGATAGGGTCACATTTTTGGGGTTTTAAGTGATCTCATCCCAGGGGGGATTTCTCATATCTAGTATGCTAATGACACTGTCATCATGATTGACACTTCTCATATCCAGTATGCTAATGACACTGTCATCATGATTGACACTTCTTGATATGACCACGTCATCAACCAACATGTTACAACCTCCAATTCAAGTAACACCAACTCAAGTATCACCTACATCGACACCAGCCCAAGCCTTTGGTGGCCCAATTACACGTAGTCGAGCAAAGAAGCTACAACAAGAAGTGAACGCGCTACTTTATGAAGTTCAATTTAATATTAATGAAAATTATATACTGCCTAAGTCGTGCACTTTGTTGTTGCTCAGGGTCACTAAAGAGAATGGCAAGAACACACAAGGTGATGACCACAGAGAAGAACCACACTCGAACCAGACCAGTCCTACAGAACAGTTGGAAAGAAATATTCATAACTTTTGATTTCCAGAGGCTATGAAGGTGAATGAGCACATTTTGGAAAGCTTGTCGAGTCTACTTTCCAATGATGCTAACGCTGACCAGTTTGGACTTCTAACTAATGAAATCCGACCAGCTTAGTACATACTGGTTAGACCTCTTGAAACTGGCAGAATTGTCAAGAAGAAAATATCATAACTTTTTATTCCCAAAGGCTATGGAGGTCAATGAGGACTTTTTGGAAAACTTGTGAAATCTAGTTTCTAATGCTTCAAGGCAGACCAGATCCGACCAGTTTTAGTGTAGATCCGACCAGTCTTAGTGCAGACTGCTCAGAGGGTTAACAGTCTTCTCAGGACATGATATTGGTACAACTTCTCATATTAAACTGTACCATTCTACAATGTTTCTTGGTGCATGCTATACATGGTGTGAAACCTTATCAAGTTAGCTTTCCAACGCAACCAACAACACGTCATTTGGATTTTCCAAGATGGAGTTATTGCCAAAACACTGAAGACTACGCAGAAGACCAACAGCCACGTGGAAACTACTTAGAGACTCATTTCGTGGAAGCTTGTTCACATAGCCTACCATTTATTTTCCTTTTCGTGTTTATACCTATCTAGGAGGGCTGTTCCTAGTATAAATATCCATGTACTCTTAAGCAAAAGGAGACTTTTGATAATTGAAATACAGAACCCCTTTTGTTCAGCTGTGTGCTAACAAATATTGAGAGAGATCTCTACCCCTTTGCTCTTGTGATTTCCTTCGCGGGATTTACAGAAGCGGCGGCTTCATCCGCTCCCAATTGATGCTCCTACTCCCTTCGAGGTTTACCTTAATTGATTGTAGGTTGTGTTGGTTGGTTTCTTGAGAGTGTGGTTGGACGAATCCTCGATTCAGGTTGCCGGTTAAAGACGGTGGTTGGCTTCGAGTTTTATTTGCCAGGTTGCACTAGTTATCGCTGCCTGCAGCAAGTTATCCGGCTGTTCTTCAGCTAGTTATCTGGTGATTGATTCTACGTCGTGAAGATCGGGACCTCGCATCGTATCACTTCTAAACAATCAATTAGAAACCTAAAACTCATCTTGTATTGTTTTGAATGGCTCTCTGTTCTCAAAATTAATTATCATAAGAGTGAGGTCTTTGTCTTTGGAGTGGATCAAGAGGTGAAGGAGAATTTGGCCAACATGCTCAATTGTGTGTTAGGAAATTTTCCTATGAAATACCTTGGGATACCTATTAGTTACAAGCATTTGAATAAGAGTGCCTTTAGCCCTGTTACCCAGAAGATGATTACTAGATTAGATCCATGGAAAGGGAAGATGTTGACTTCTGGGGGTAGACAACTCCTTACAAATACTTGTTTAAGCTCTATCCCTCTTTACTGTATGGGTTTTTATCTGCTAACAGATGGCTTTCATAGTGACATGGATAGCATAGGAGCTAAGTTTCTCTGGCAAGGGGCTGATGAGAAATTCAGATATCACATGGCCAAGTGGGAGATGGTTAGCAGACCTAAGGACCAAGCGGGGTTGGGGATCATTGACACTAAAGTAATGAATGAGAGCCTCTTAGTCAAATGGATTTGGAAAATCCATCAACAACCTGATGAACTTTGGTATAGGATCTTGAAAGCCAAGTACTTAGGGGAAAATTGTTTTTTTTGATTCCTCTGGGGCAGGGGGGTCTCAGTTCTAGAAAGGGTTGCACAAAGTTAAACATCTTTTCAAGTGGGGAGTCACTTTCAAAGTTGGGGATGGAAAGTGATGCTGTTTTTGGGAAGACTGCTGGATACAGGATGTTCCACTTAAGATCCTATACAGTGACCTGTACAATTTGGTCAGGGATCCCAATTGTTATGTCAGTGACTGTTGGGAGGAGGAAACCTGGGGGGTTGATTTCAAAAGAAGCTTATCTGTTCATGACTATGAACGATGGTTTGGGCTGCTGAGTATGCTGAATGACTACGCGTTAACTGACAATAGGGCTGATTGTGTACAGTGGGCTTTAGATAAAAAGAAGCAATTCACTACCAAACCTCTTTACAGATTCCTTACTGATAGGGGTGTCATTAGTAGAGTGGCTGGCTTCATTTGGAGAAGTAGAGTTCCTTTAAAAATCAAATTCTTTCTTTGGCAAATTCTCAATAACAAACTGCAAGCCGCTGTGAACCTTGCCAAATGGGGTTGGAAAGGATCTATTCTTTGCTGTCTTTGTGGTCGCTTAGAAGATACTGATATTTTCCATTTACAATCATATCCCACTTCATGGGAAGAATTCTGTGGTTCTTGGCTAAGAGGCAAGGGGCCTTTCCCGGCTAGGATAATCATTTTCGTGTTTTCAGGTTTTGCTTGGGCCCTTTGGACTACCAGGAATAAGATAGCTATTGAAAAGATGATTCCAAAGGCGCCAACTGATGTTCTATACATTGCACTTTCACTGATGCAGAAATGGAGCGTGAAGCTTAAGGAGAAGGATCAGGACCGCATCATGCAGATCAAGAACTCCATCACTAGCTGGCTCAAGGCATTCAAGCTTAACAGTATTCCCCTGTCGGATGTAATGGAAATTTAGATCTGTAATAGGCTTGGAATGTTGGGTTTGTTTTGTTCTCTTCCTTGAAAACTGGTATCCCCAGTCTGTGAACCCGTTATGTTGCTTTCTAAAAAACAGAGGTTTAACCTTTTTAAAAAAAAAAAAAATATGACAGCGCCAGCGGAGCCCTGCCGATCTTTCAAAAGAACCATGGTGATGATATTTTTCTATGTGTAACTAAATGTTCCACGTTCTTTTTTCTAAAAAAACTATGGTGATGATATTTTTCTATGTAACTAAATGTTCCACGTTCTTCTTCTTCTTTTTTTAAAAATGTTTCCTGCAAATCATGTGATTGAGTGATTTATAGTCTTACATGCACATGATAATTTGACTATTCATTTAGCATCTTTTTTTTTCTTTCCATACGTTGCAGATGTATGCTGTGACAACACATCAGTGTGTATAGGTAAGTGGTGTTTGGATCTAGAGACTAAAGTTTAGTCTTTGTCACATCAAATGTTTGGATGTCAATTAGGAGGACTAAACACGAGGTAATTATAAAACTAATTGCATAAGCCGTGACTAATTCGCGAGACGAATTTATTAAGCCTAAGTATTTCATGATTAACATATGTTTACTGTAGCATCACATTTCCTAATCATAGACATCTTAGACTTAATAGATTTGTCTCGCGAATTAGTCACGATTTATTCAATTAGTTTTGTAATTAATCTATATTCAATACGCCTAATTAATTCCCAAACATCCGATGTGATTGAAAAAGTTCAGTCACAGAGGATAGCCATGATCACGGAGGATAGTCTTGTTCATAGACCCGAGTTAGGGCAGTCCCAATAGATAGTTTTTTGATGCAGTTTCCAAAAAAGAAAGGGAGCAATTAATGTGTAGGAGAAACTATCCTTCTCAATCCATAGTTTCTACGATAATTTCTGTATAAGAGAGAACTTAAATGCAATAAAAAAATGAGATAATTTAAATGCAATAAAAAATGAATGG